GGGGGGGGGGGGGGGGGGGGTGCACCTGGGACTCCTGGACCTGCCTGCCCACCCCCACGACTGGAGCTGCCTCTCTTCCTTTATAGGTTTTGCAGAGGCATGTCTTTTGGCTGTGCAAGCTTGAAATAATGTCCTCTGTTATTTCTAGGATTCACTGCCTTCTTTCATTTTTACCTTCATCTGATAATATTGAAAGTGGTGGGAAATGATTCTACTTTAAATCACCAACACCTTCAAACCTGCTGACCTTGGGGATATTATTTTCTATATTTGGATTTCCATTATCTGTAAAGTCAGAGGGCTCAATTAGATGCTGCCTGTGGTCCCTTTCTAGCTTTGACATTACATGATTTAAGGACTTTATAATAACTGTGATGCTTTTTTCTTCCTGGTTAATGAAAGATATCATTATGTATTGAAGGATGGATTATTTCATTGAAATTTAGAATTCTGCACTTAGATTTTGGTGGTCAAGAGTGAAAGTTTTAAGTACTTCCCTGCTCCTTCTCTGCCATGATCTAGTATTGTTTTGGGGTTCACGTCTGCAAATCTATGTCTGTGTCACCCATTTCTGATTAAGAAGAAGAAGCAGGCTTGTTTTGCCAAAGGTCAGTATTTAGAGGGCAAACAGCATGTGCTCAGAAGTTTGTGTTTGGGGCCCTGTTGAATGTCTTCAAATTCCACAGAGCGTCTAGAGACTGCCAACAAGCAGCTTGCAGAGAAGGAGTATGAGGGATCAGAGGATACCAGAAAAACCATCTCTCAGCTCTTTGCAAAAAGTAAGTCTAAAAGCTTCAGGAGCAGGTTATCAATATGTGGATGGGAGCGGGTTGTTCACGTGAAAAGGTTGCATAGTTCTCTTTAGCTTTCTAGAGCAGCCAGGGCAGAGTTAATGTCTTTTAGGGATTCTTTTTCCTGTTCAGGCATGAAGTTGGGAGATTCTATTCTTTTCCTCCTAGGCCAAGTAGGAAAGCATTCCACAACATCCAGTCACATTGAATAGCTCCTTCTGTATTAAATCAGAGAAGCCCCTTGAAATCCTGCTATTGTCATGGCCAGCTGAAGAAAGGACCTTAGTGAACATGGGGTCCCTTAATTTTGAAGGGATTTTCTTAGAATTTTCCATGTGCTGGCTGTGGTAGAGATGGGATTAAGATGCAGGATTGATGATTAGTGTTTGGAATACCAATCCTGCACTGGGGTTCCCTTGGTTAAACACCTGGGATTATATTATATTATTGCACATTGGCAGATAGCAAGGAGAGCCACAGGGATGCCTCTGCTGTGGCCTGAACTAGTGACTCTGGTTGCAGAGTTGGGTGGTGTCAGGGAGAGCAGAGCTGTGTCTTCCTCATGAGAGTATTTCCTTTGTCTGGAAATACTCCTAGGACCGTGACAATGAATTAATCCTCTTCTTTATTGGTCCCTAATGGACTCCACCCAGATACACAATGCCTAATTCTTTCCTATTACCATAATAAAACCAGCAATAAAAACTTCATAGAGGATAAGTCCACAGGGAGAATTAGTTGGGGGGAAAGAGATGAACTGCTCTCATTTCTGGAGATGCCCCTTATTGGCTTCCCCTCCCCGCAGCCTCCCTCAGTGCAGCTTCTGCTGGAGTCATGCTTGCTGGGGGCTTGTGCATCTCTCCCATCTTTGTTGGGCCTCTGAATGACCCTTTCAAGTCATTCCATGCAGCTTCCAGTCAGCTTTTACAAGTTTGTTTGATCTTCACTTATAATATTCCCCTCCCTTCCTGGGTTGTTCTGCGGTGCTCTGGCTTCAGAACCAGGCTTTTTCTTTCTCTTTTCCCTGTGCCTCCTGTTCCTTTGTCAGTATGTCTTACAGCAAGGATTGTTGTTTTTTCTGGTGTCAGAATGCCTAGTGTGAGTTGTTGTGAAGATGCTTTTGTGGTGTCATGGTTACTTTGGAAGATGGTTCACTGGTGGAAGGAGGGTGGCAGCCTCCCAGGACAAAACAAAACAAAACTATGGATTCTTGCTCTGGATCTGCTAGATTGTACTTCTTTCGGTATGGAGATGGTATTTTAGGTGTCCTAGTTGCTCTGATATGGGCTTATAAAATGTGATTTAGGGCTGGCTGGTTAGCTCAGTTGGTTAGAGCACAGACTTATAACACCAAGGTCACAGGTTTGGATCCCCGTACTGGCCAGCCACCAAAAAATATGTGGTGATTTATTAGCTCAAACTGTATTAACAGTGGGCAGAAGACTGTCAAACTCTAGAGGGAAAAGTGAACTCCACCAACTAGGTGGGGGGGAGGACGCTCCCTTGTCTTTTTTGCCTTTGGGTATTGACAGGGCCCTGCATGGTGGCAACTTTCAGCAGGAGAAAAGAAAGCCCTCTTGAAAAGTCTCCCTGGGGAATGTGCTCCAGCAACCTTAGGGAGGCCAAATCAACTCAACCCTAGCAGTCTGGTATAGTAGAAAGAGTTTAGAACAACCTGGGCCTAAATATATGGGCTCCACTAGTTATTTACCAATTGTGGAACATTGTGCAAATTCGTCAGTCTCTCCAAGTCTCTGTTTTCTCATATGCAAAATGGAGAAGAGAATAATACCTTCCTTGTATGATTGTTCTGAGTTAGTACAATGCCTGGTATGCAATAAGTATTCAACAAATGTTTGTTTCTTTCCAAAGTGCATCTGAATAGATACGTAAAGTCATAGCGGGAAGGAAGACAAGGTTGTCCTATTGAAGTTTCTCCTACAGACTTAAGATTCAAGGTCTTGAGACAAAGGGTACTCGACTTCCAAATCCAAATCAGAACCACTCATTTGAGTTTCTGGTCTGAGGTCTGGCCTAGTTAAGAGGAGAGGGGCCTAGAAAGGCATGGGGCATAACCACATGTGTCATAGTCCCCTGTAGATATAATGCAGTCCTGGATTCAGAGACATAGAACTGCTAATTTTATAGGTCAGGTGAGTCTCAACCTTCTCATTCTAAAATCTAGTACACATAATTTGTAGCATCACAATGCAAGGCATTTTAAAGCTTGCAGAGTCTCATTATTAATCATGGTGGTGATAATCATCCTTTTTATGTAGTACGTTCCTTTGGTGTTTGTGCTTTCTAGTGCTTCTTTCATTTAAATAAATCCTTTATCTCATTTGATCGTTAAAAAATATTATGAGAGGGCCGGCCCGGTGGCGCACTGCTACAGTGCGCCACTTGGGAGCGCGGCGGGGCGCCCACCGAGGGTTCAG